CCCGCGCAGCCCGTCGCCGAGCTCCCCAAGAAGCAGCCCAAGTCCGAAAACCGCGCCGCCACCAACGGCAGCAGCACCACCACCGAAAGCAACGGCGTCGGCCCCACCGACCGCGACGACCTCACCCCCGTCGGCGGCCTCAACAACAAGTCCTCCTTCCACTCGCGCACCACCGCCGACCAGTTCCGCGCCGAATACCACCCGGACAACGCCTCCAAGTACGCGAACCCCAAACACTACTCGGCTCGGCCCGAGACCTACCACCGAAAGTCGTTCAGCGCCGCTCCCTCGTCCATGGGTGAGGCCACCCCGGCCGGATCGCGTCGCCCCTCCGGCAGCGAGCACGACATCGGTCACGGCCGCGGCCCCACCGCCAACCTCAACCACGCCGTCGACGCGCGTCACGGTCACGGCGGCAACCACCACGGCCATCACTGGGTCTCGGCCGAGGACAAGCGTCTGCAGGAGGATGCCGACAAGAAGCGCCACTGGAAGCGCTGGGGCCCCTACCTCAGCGAGCGCCAGTGGGGCACCGTCCGCGAGGACTACTCGGCCAACGGCGACGCCTGGTCCCACTTCCCGCACGAGTCCGCCCGCAGCCGCACCTACCGATGGGGCGAGGACGGCCTGGCGGGTCTCTCGGACAACCACTGCCGCATGGGCCTCAGCCTCGCGCTCTGGAACGGCAAGGACCGCATGCTCAAGGAGCGCCTCTTTGGTCTCGCCAACAACGAGGGCAACCACGGCGAGGACGTCAAGGAGCTCTACTGGTACCTCGACAGCACCCCCACCCACAGCTACATGAAGATGCTCTACAAGTACCCGCAGGAGTCCTACCCCTACGAGCTCTTTGTGCGCGAGTCGCGCAACCGCAGCCGCGACGTCGCCGAGTTCGAGGTCACCGACACCGACCTCTTTGACGAGGACAAGTACTGGGACGTCTTTGTCGAGTACGCCAAGGACGAGGACGAGGAGAACGCCATCTCGATCCGCATCAGCGCCTACAACCGCGGTCCCGAGCCTGCCGACCTCCACATCCTGCCCCAGCTCCTCTTCCGCAACTACTGGTTCTGGCCCAAGGAGGAGCCTGCCAAGCCCCAGATGAAGCAGACCGGCGACTACGTCATCCAGGCAGACCATCCGGAGCTCGGTCGCTACCACCTCTACTGCTCCACCAGTCCGGCGCCCAGCGCTCCCCCCGCCAAGCGCGGCCAGGCGCCCGAGCCCATCTCGGACGAAGAGGTGGTGCCCGAGCTCCTCTTCACCGAAAACGAGACCAACTTTGAGCGTCTCTACAACGGCAACAACCGCAACGTCTACGCCAAGGACGCCTTCCACGACCACATTGTCCCCGCCCACCGCATGGAGAAGGATCGTCCCAAGGCGATCGAGCGCACGCGCAAGATCAAGAAGACCGTGGTGCGCCAGGAGCGCCGCCCCATCCCTCGTGACGAGGCTGCCAAGACCGACGCTGCGCCCAAGGCCAACGGCGCCTCGGCCGATGCTCAGCCCGAGGCCGCCGCCGCCGAGGACCAGTTTGGCTCCATCGGCCCCACGGGCGAGCAGGATTACGAGGTGGTCGACATCGAGGAGGAGGTCGAGGAGGAGGAGACCTACTTTGAAGACCCCGACGAGTCGACGCCGCCGCGCGACTACGTCAACCCGCAGAAGAAGGGTACCAAGGCGGGCGCGCACTACGTCTTCCGCCAGGTGCCGCCCTTTGGCGGCTGCGCCGTGGTGCGCATGAAGCTCACGCCCCGAACGCCGTCGGAGGATGCGGCGATCGACGACGACGAGCAGTTTGACAACACGGTCGAGTCGCGCCGTTCCGAAGCCGACGAGTTCTACGCCAAGCTGATCAGCGGACCCATGTCGGACGACATGAAGAACGTCATGCGCCAGGCGCTCGCCGGCATGCTGTGGAACAAGCAGTTCTACATGTTCATCCAGCCCGAGTGGCTGCGCGGCGACCCGGGCCAGCCGGCGCCGCCGCCGGAGCGCAAGCGCATCCGCAACCACGACTGGCGCCACCTGCACATGGAGGACATCCTCTCGATGCCCGACAAGTGGGAGTATCCGTTCAGCGCCGTGTGGGACAGCGCCTTCCACTGCATCCCGCTCGCCATGGTCGACCCGGCCTTTGCCAAGAAGCAGCTCGACCTCTTCACGCGCGAATGGTACATGAAGCCCGACGGCGCGCTGCCGGCGTACGAGTGGAACTTTTCGGACGTCAACCCGCCCGTGCACGCGTGGGCGACGTTCCGCGTGTTCAAGATCGAGCGCAAGATGTTTGGGCGCGAGGACCTCGACTTTTTGGAGCGCGTCTTCCAGAAGCTGCTCATCAACTTCACCTGGTGGGTCAACCGCAAGGACTCGAGCGGCTCCAACGTGTTTGAGGGCGGCTTCCTCGGCCTCGACAACATCGGACCCTTCAACCGCTCCGAGCCGCTGCCCACGGGCGGCACGCTGCGCCAGGCCGACGGCACGGCGTGGATGGCGTTCTATGCGCTCAACATGCTCAACATGGCGCTCGAGCTGGCCAAGCACAATCCGACGTACGAGGACATTGCGTCCAAGTTCTTTGAGCACTTTATCTTTATCTCGGACGCCATGTCGTTCCATCAGGCCGACGACGAGGAGGGCATCAGCCTGTGGTCGGACAAGGACGGCTTCTACTACGATGCCATCCAGTGGGGTCCCGGCCACAGCCAGGTGATCCCGGTCAAGAGTCTGGTGGGCCTGATCCCGCTGTACGCGACGCTGACGATCGAGCCGTCGGCGCTGAAGCGGTTCCCGAGCTTTGCGAAGCGCATGCAGTGGTTCCTGGACAACCGGCCCGAGATGGCGGACCGCAACATTGCCAACATGCAGGTGGGCGGACGCGGCGACCGACGTCTGCTGTCCATGGTGAGCCGGGAGCGGCTCGAGCTCATCCTCAAGCGCATGCTGGACGAGAACGAGTTCCTGTCGCCGCACGGCGTGCGTTCGCTCAGCAAGGACCACCAGAAGAATCCCTTCCACGTCAACGTCGGCGGCGAGGAGTTCGGCGTGGGCTACTGGCCCGGCGACTCGCACAGCCCCATGTTCGGCGGCAACTCCAACTGGCGCGGCCCGATCTGGATCTGCGTCAACTTCCTGCTCATCGAGTCGCTCCAACGCTTCTACCAGTACTACGGCGACAGCTTCAAGGTCGAGTGTCCGACGGGCAGCGGCGACTACATGCATCTGGGCCACGTGGCCGAGGAGCTGTCGCACCGTCTGCTCGGCATCTTCCTGCGCGACGACCAGGGCCGCAGGGCCAACAACGGCGGCATCCCCATGCTCGACTATGCGCCCGAGTTCCGCGACCTGGTGCACTTCTACGAGTTCTTCCACGGCGACACGGGCAAGGGACTGGGTGCCTCGCACCAGTGTGGCTGGACGGGCCTCATCGCGTATACGATCTACTCGACCGGAGCGAGCTACGGCTTGGCACAGACGCCGCGCACGCCCAAGTCGACCGCCGCACACTACTTTGACGAGCACCTCACCGAGGACGGACGATCCGAGGCCGGCAGTGTGCCGTACTCGAACGCCTACTCGCGCCCGCCTTCGCCCGACGAGCTGTGAAGCTGGATCGTGCCCAATCTTGTAAATCTTTCTCGTTCTTGGCAATTTGGATGGCTGTTGTTTCTGGCATCGTTTGTGGGTGAGTTTAGTGACGCCGACGGCGGTGATGTGAGGAGGAGGAGGGG